ATGCCAGTTCTGTAATCACCACTCTGTAGTGCCCCATGCTCCTCACTGCCGATGCGTGTTTCGAGTAGCATGCGGACTTCACCTCAACTGTTATACATATCTGAAGAATTACAATCATTTCAGTTCCTGTGAAGTAAAATGAAGTAGACTTCACCTCAAATGTTATACATATCTGAAGTACAATCATTTCATTACATATCTGAAGAATTATGTAATGACCGCAAGTTCTCCGTTGATGCAGATTATGACGATGTTCCTGTGAAGGATGCACCATCTAAAGTGCCTATATTTTCAGACATGCTGAATAGGGGTGCTTCATTTAATTGGTCAGAAACTGGGCAGCAGAGTTTTAGGATTATGAAGAAGAAACTGCAAGAAGCTAGTTGGCAGTAAAAGGTGTCTCGGTTGGAAAATTCTGCTGAGTTTGCACATGTCCTTCGCATATCTGTGAAATAGGCAAGTAATAAGAAAAATCTAAATTTGTATAGCACATGGATACGTGCAAATAGATGTTATCCCTTTGTTTTCTGCAGTCAAGCTGAACCTAATGTTCCCTCTTTTTACCTCTTATTGCCTTCACATGCTGCATTGAATTACTTATGCCCGTTCCATGGACTGTGGAGTTACTATGCACAAACATTTGTTCCTGCATATAATGCTACAATGTCTGATGAATATTGTAGACTTCAATTTTATCCACAAGGGATGAAGCATTCCCTGTGATTATATGATTAACACAACATCCTTCCTAATGATTATATCCACATCTTCATGTTTGTGTTTTTATGCACTCTTAAATTATTGTTTAACTTTCTAAAGTTATTGCACTTGTAAAATTCAGAACGAGTAGGGTGTTATTTATTTGTTTTGATGAGAAGGCTCGTCAACGTTGCAGATCACGCTGTTTGGACAGAAGATGCAACTTTGCATATGTTCACGAAGTAGCGAACGAAGGCATTGCTATAAGGCCTTTTTCTACACATAATGGATTAATGGCGTCCCGATCTTTAAACGGCTACGACCTCATTTGATGCCACCTGGCACTAAGCAAGAGATGAGGAAGAAGCAAAGAAGCTTCAATTGGTGTTTGTGAATGACGAACTGAGCTTTTTACCTGAGATCATCATGATCCAGCTAAAAGAGATGAAGATTTTCCCTCGCAAGGAAGAGAAGCATCACAGGTAAGTTACTTCACTAGTACAACATACGATGTGCCAAGCGAAAAAAATAAATTGTTATCTTTTTGTCTTGCAGGATCTCTGTTCTGAAAATAATGTTCCTATTTTCTGTCTTGCAGGGTCTCAGTTCTGAAAATACATGTTAAGTTTCTGTTCTTTCTCAGTGCAATTTCCATGTGGAAATCATAGCAGCCACCTGTGGTGACGTAATCCTGCCTCCCCAGCTTGATTAAATCTTCGCTGCAGATTAATATATGTGGAGATCTGTTGTATTGTAGTATCACAGATACTAACAGATTCCAGGAAAGATCACCAGGTACATTGTCCGCGAGCATTTCTGATCTTTTCATAGAACAGCTTGATTTTTCACTCACAAGACGCCAAATTTTGTTCTGCATTGTCCAGCACTTAATGAGAAGTGAAAACAGGCTAAGTGAAAACAGGCTTGCATGTGTAAATATGCGGAAAAAGGAAGGGTTGGGCGACCTCCTTCAAAACCAAGCTTCTAAATATTGTATTCCAGAAAATGTTTGCAGATATCAGCCAGTATAGCCGAATCTGTGGATGACAATGAATTATATTTACAAAAAATATTGGTTTTTTATGGCGATGAATTAGTACAATAGATGCACCATTTGTCAAACAATTTGTTGGAGATGGTTTCCTTTTTCCTGTTTATGTAAAACCGTCGGTAATTATTCTATCTTTTTTTTTCAAGAGAGGAATGGTATATACATGAATAGCAAGACAGTGACAGTACTTTTCTGATATGGCTATATGTATGTATGTACTAATACTGAAGCGAATCCAGTATATAAACTGAGATCAGCCAATGGGAAAGCTTACTCAAAACATTTATAGCGTGACTGCTGTGTTCTGAACTTTGGAGGTTCTTTTTTGACTGGTATGTGGCATCATATGACTTTCTTTCATGTGCCTCTATGATTTCTTAGTATTTTTTGGCAACCCTGTTTTCTGTGCCCCACTGACCTTGCTCCGGTAGGGCTTGAATCCTAAGCTATGGATCTGTCTATATTGATAAACCTGACTTCTTTAACTGAATAGGTGTAGATTTTCCATTATCGTTTTCCCAAAGAATATGTTGCTCTCATAATAGATTCATAGGGTAGTTTGATGAGAGTGGATTTTTGGAACATGGGTGCATTAGAGGACTTTATTTTAAATAGTTTAAAAATCACATTAAAATTTCAAAAAATGCTGAAAAGAATTCTACATGTTCATATGGATGGATATTACACATGTGTAAATTTTGGTGATGAAATAAGTAAACATGTGAGCTATAAAAAGACAAAATGATGATTTCTAAATGCTGAATAATCCATGCTATGTTCATCTTTTCAGAATCACGATTTTGTCATTTGTGTGTAATTCACATGGTTACTTATTTCATCATCAGAGTTTGCACATGTTTAACATACATCCATATGAACATGTGGAATTATTTTTGGATTTTTTTAAACTTCAAAAATACCATTTTGACACTGTTTAAAATATAGGGCTCAAATGCACCCTTGCACCAAAGTGACTTTTTGGTAGTTTGATTTTCTTCATTGAGAAGTGTTCCATCCCTGTTCTTACAGGGAATCAAACCTTCTTTCATATCAACAACAACCCCAATTGTTCATATCAATAACAACCCCAATTGTTCTCAGGAATGGTCTTCTTAGCATAACGGGACATGAAAGATTGCACTCGATATCCATTACTGTAAAGTCAGGGGAACATAATTTTGATTTGCTATAATAGGGACATCATCTACTCTTCCCAATGGCTTCTTGATAGTTGAATTTGCTTGCTAAATGTAAATTCAAGAAACAATCAGACATAGTCTTTAAACTCAAAACATCATACAAAATGCTTGCACATAAATCATTAAACTCAAAGTTACTAATTGTGATCTTAGTTCCCATCCATCTTCTAATTTTTTTTGGAATAGAACTTCTAGTTTCAGTTTTTCTTCTCTAGCTTTTTATGACGCCTTCTGTAATGTGTTATGTAAAGACTATTGCATTCTTTAGCATTAGGCATTTTAACAAATTCTTGTAGAACCTTTATCATTTCAGCAAGAGTACAATCATCACAATTGTAAGTTTCTTTATCCAAAATAGTGAGATAAACACTACCTAAGATTTGACCTCTCCAAAGCCACTTTTTGCATAATTGCAATGATATTAAACTAGTGGGATCATCACTGACTAAATTCATGGCCTCTCCAAGCCATTTTTTAGGAATATTGCGAACATATAATCCTTTAAGAAGTTCCTCGGTAATAGTGGTTTCAATGGTACCTAAAGTCGACCTCTTCAATACCACTTTCAGCAAATAATTCAGCCAGTTTCTCTTTGCAATCTCTCTTTCTCCCTTCCAGCCCTAATCATGACAAGTGTGTATAATATATTTTAGCCTGTACAGCTTTTAAAGACCTAGACATATCATCTTTAGAAGGCATATTTTTTTATCTTAAGCATTTCAACATCATGTGCCAGATTATCAACTTTATGTGATATGTTGTCTAGGTTTTCAAGCTTGCTACTGGCCATAGTATTGATTTGTGTGTGTAGCACTGAATTCTTTTATGACATTTTTTAAAAATCAAACCACCAACTTTATTCATTTGAAACATCGTTTGTGAGAAGGGCCATAATTTCATCTAAAGGCTCCTCAAACCAATCAATTAGTCGGATGAAATCAAGCCAACCTAGCAAGCTCATGAGCGACCTTATTTGCTACTTTGTTACAATGCTCAAACCTAGAAATACGAAGATCACAAGCAAAATGATAAGAGTTGTCAAAAAACACCACCGCCGCACCCGTTGATTGTCCTCCATTCTTTATGGTTTCAATGACCTCCAAACTATCGGAATTAATAACGAGACGATTGTAGCCCCGCCCTTTGTGCAAGTGATTGACTGAATTTGAGAGCCAAAGCTTCAACCGTTAAGACATTTGCGCATCTCCCCCCACACACATTCAATGAGTTTGCCCTTGTTATCCCTCGGGACCGCCCCAACTGTGTCCCTAAGCAGGTCTTGATCAAAAGATGCATCACATTTAGTTTGACGAAACCACGAGGGGGCATGATCCATCCCCATTTTACATGGTAGCCTTGGAGAAGAAGCAATGACAAAAAGCTAGTCGTGAGTGCACGAGTCCCCATTGAAATTTGTAAGGCACTTTGAATTGTCTCCTCATGGACCAACTTACGTCTTTTCCCACCACAAATACCACATAGTAATTGCAATCACCCCCAGAACATTCTGAACATCCACAACGGACAAATTCTAATTTGGTAAAAGAAGTAGGAATCCCAGAACCGCCTTCCCATTACATCAACTTCGCCGGTTGTATTAATAATTTCGTTGATCCCTAGCCTCCTTCAACTTGTCTTGCTTTTTTTGCAGAGAAATACCATGTGTTTTGTATCTTTCGGACATGGTTGGTCCTGAGATTTCAGGGGCCAATGTAGAGGGGCCCTAAGGCCACATTTTTTCCTATTTTAAGTGCAAATAAATACAGTACTACTTAGTACACTATATTTTGTGTTGCCCTGTCACCTAGATTATCCAAAAAAAACGGGGAGCGTAAACATTTATAATGATAGTTTGTCGCTCTTATCAATCAACACTTATTTTTTTGTGTTACGTGAATCGTGGCACTTTTGTGCCAACTAAAATATCATCATATTTTTTACTAGGTTGTTCTTCAACGATAAACTAAAGCTAATTCCTCAGAATTCCTAGCGGTAGAAGTACTTCTATATGTTTAAGAAAATGCCAATCCTCTTTTTGGAACTCACTCAATTCATATTCATGTTTTCCTCTTTTACTCTATTATCATATGGATTCTAGCTAACAATTTTAAATTAACAACAAATCTTGTTAAGTACCACCTAAACATATGATACAAGTAATTAAGAATGCTGCTAGTTAAAATAAAATGTTAAGAAAGGCATGGAACAAAGTACCTAGATGGCTTGAAATTAGAAATTGCAAGATTTTTCCGCTGCTTCCGAGTCACGAGAAAACTTGGAGTTCCTCTTTTCTAATCCCAATCAACACAAGAAATCAGAGTGTGAGGAGGACATATATACGAGGATGAACTTCTTCAAACAAATGAATGATCTGACAAGACTATTGAAAGAGGGGATTTGCATTGAAGATAAGATTGATTGGAATCTGGAAAATCACATTACCT